GCCAGAGCAGAGAACACATGCCTAATGCAATCCTCCTCAGAGACTCTTGTGGCTGTTTCAGGCAGACAGCCCCTGCCTCTGAGCAAGAGACTTCTCCCTCCCCTAAAGGGGGTGTCTGGGGAGAGCAAGAGACATTATTGGTGCGTCTGGTCAAACCTTTGGTCCCTGCCCCTTCAGTGGCAGCAGTAAGCAGGCCCTGGAGACTAGACAGGAGGAATGTGAGGATGCCCGTGAGAGCCCCCACACGTGAGGCTTCTTCAGAATCTTCTGGGGCATGGGGCTGACCTGGTTCTAGGCTCCTAAACCGGGCTGATTGAATAGGCAGCAATCCTGGCCTGGATTAGACTGTTCTGCGGCTGGAGGTTGCTTCTTCTATCACAGACTCCATGCTGCCCCCTGGGAAACCCTGTGGGTGGGCAGCACTCCCTCTGGCTGTGGGGAGTGGGCTGGGGCCTGTGCCAGACTCTCCCAGTGGGATGACAGTGTGCAACTCCCATGCTCAAAGCAGAGACAGGCTGGCAGCTGGCACCTCTCCCACCTCTGGGCTATGCAAGCAGGAATCAAACTGGGGAACCAAGGGCTTGTGTATACACCAGGTCATGGCAGTTTACCGAAAGGCAGCATGCTATATTGTTGCAAACCAGTGTGCATGGTCTGAGTTCAGTTTAACGCATGCTGAGTGTGGCTTAGCTGAAGTTCATCGGGAACAGGTTTAGGTTATGTCTACACTACACAGCTTACAGCCATGCCGCTAAAAACCGTGCAGTTTAGCCACTGTTTGTCAGTTCTCCTGCTGACAAAAAACTTCCACTCCCAATGAGCAGCATTTGCGTTCACACTGGTGCTTGTCGCAGCACAACTTGGGTGGGGGGGGGGGGGGGGGGGGTTTAAACACCTCTGAAAGACAAAAGTTTTGTCATTCATTTGCCAGTGTAGACATAGCCTGGGTCTAAACCAAAATAAGCCATTCTTAAACCAGGTTAGCTAATCCCATGCAAACTCCTGTATGGGTACTGATTTCGGTTTAAGTATAATCAGTGCAAATGTGTGTGTAGAGAAGACTTTACGGAACCCCCCATAGCTAAATTCCCTCTAAGCTGCGCAGCCGCATCCAGGGCCGGCTCCAGGCACCAGCTGACCAAGCACGTGCTTGGGGCGGCACCTTAGGGCGGGGCGGCGGGCGGGTTTTTATTTATTTATTGGTTCGTCGGGGCAGCGCTGGAGGGTTTTTTTTTTTTTGTTTCCGCGGCGCGGCGCTCGGGGCTTCAGGCGGCACGGCGCTAGGAGGGGGGTGGGGCTTCGGGCGGCGCAGCGCTCGGGGGCTTGGCACGGCGCTGGGGCTGGTGCGGCGCTCGGAGGGGGACGGGGGCTGGTGCTGTGCTCGGAGGGGGGCAGGGGCTTGGCGCGGTGCTCGGAGGGGGCGGGGGCTTGGCGCGGTGCTGGGGGGGGCGGGGGCTTGGCGCGGCACAGCGCTCGGAGGGGGCGGAGCTTCGGGCGGCGTGGTGCTCAGGGGGGGCGGGGATTTCGGTGGCGCTGGGGGGTGGTTCAGCTGCGCGGCGCTCTTCCTTTTTTGCCTGGGGCGGCAAAAAAGTTAGAGCCAGCCCTGGCCGCGTCGCAGCCTATTAAGCGCTGTGCAGGTGCTCAGTGCTGTGACGGAGAGAGATGCCTCTCCTCCAGCCTTGGACCTGTCACGCCTGGGAAAGAGGCACCTCTCCTGCAACCTCAGCCCCAGAGCTGCCGTGGCAGGGAGAGGCACCTATTCCCCTCCCCCAGCCCAGGTGCTGCTGTGGGGAGAAAAAGCTGGGAGGAGTCCTTTCTTCCCCCACCGTAGCCCCAGGGCAGCCTGCACCCCAAGCCCCTCATCCCCAGCCCCACCACAGAGCCCACAGACCTAGCTGGAGCCTTCACCCCCCACATACCCCAACCCTCTGCCCAGCCCTGAGCCCCCTCCTGTACCCTGAACCCCTCATCCCTGGCTCCATCCCAGAGCCCACACCCCCAGCCGGAACCCTCCCCCTCCCGCACCCAACTCTCTGCCCGAGCCCTGAGCCCCCTCTCACACTCCAAACTCCTCAGCCCCACGAATTTTGTTATATGCACCAATATGGAGGTGATGTGTCACACATCACCTCCATATTGGTGCCCATAACAAAATTCACTCTGCACATGCGTAGAAAAAAAATAGAGGGTACACTGCCCCAGAGGCTATGAATAGTCCAGTATGACAGGCAAGACTTGGTTAATTTGGCTAAGGAGGTGAGAAGCAGCCATTGTCTGTACTGCCACGGAAACCAAAATCCACCATCACACATTAAATTGATGGAGAAACAGTCAGCCAAATCCCTCTCTGCACTCAGACGCAGATCTCTTTGAAGGCAGTGCTAAGAACTTATGAGTTTGGGCTAATCACTGGTTTTTGAGTAGCAACATGGTTACTGAGGGAGTTAATGACATTATTTCATGGTAGCCCAGAATATCGCAATCACCCTCTCACAATGGTGGAGCAGTAGTGATGCCGTAAGAAGGCTGTGGCAAAATCCTCATTTTGATAGGAGAGTTAAACCTTCATTGTTCCAGAAGTGACAAAAATCGAAACCTAGGAATGAAACCTGACAGCATATGAGAATTGTTCCTGGCGATCTGGTGCAGATCAGCTGCACAGAAGCACACAGATCCTGAACTAGTCCAGCTGGCTGACAAAGGATGGATCACCCGTTCTGTTCGTTCCCTCTGGGGCACCTGGCATTGGCCACTGATGGAAGACAGGATACTGGGCTAGATGGACCTTTGGTCTGACCCCATATGGTCATTCTTATGGTAGCAGTGTGTGCACTTCATGTGGGCCACCTGTGCTTGGGGGATCAGTAAGTAGGAGATAAGCTGGAACTCCTTGTGGTACCAGCATTCCCCTCCTGCCTTTCAGCCTCCTCCCAGGGGCAGTCCCCTGTGAACCAGCCTGTGTCCTTGAGTGGTGACCTATTCATTCTGATCCGAATTCAGAGAAGCAAGGTGGACAACACTAGAAAGTCCCAATTCAGTGCAAACCACTCTTCTTTATTTCCTCTTTGTACAATAAAGCCAGTCACTTACAAAGTGCCAGTCTAAAAGCAGATTTGACATTATACAGAATGTACACACCAATCAGAACCCAATCAGCTGACAGGCAGAGGAGAAGGCCAGATTCCTGTCACCCTTTTTACTGCAGTATATTAGAAGAGATTTCAATTCAGCATCCAAGAATCAGCCTTCAGCCCCAGTCTGACCATACAAAGGGAAGTGGCAAGGTTTCTTGTGTCAATATAGAAGGGGAACCACATTTGTTACATTATATTGTTCTTCATTTTTAACAGGATCTTTTCTTACTTTTTCCCCACTGTCTCCCCAAATCTTTACTTTAAAAGGGTGGAAAACCCACGATCAAAGATGCTAAACAAAAAAACCCAGTGCAGTGCTACAGTTTATACTTACCCTAGTGAAGGGGACAGAAAAGAAACATAATATCCACTTAAGCCAAGTGTAAAAACCCAAACAAACCAAGAACCAAACAGCAGAAGCATCAGCAATTATGAGCTAAACAACTCAAACCTCAGTGCTTTAAAAGAGCCGCTCTGCAGAGCAGCAGCGCAATGCTAACCAGAGGGCTGGGGACACAGCAGCTCCCTTCTCCTTTACAGCAAATCTAGCGAATGCAGCTTTAATCCTGTACTGCGTTCCCACACGGTGCCTTTCCTCCTCCCCCACTTTAACTTCTAGGAAATAAACAAGTGGGAGGCCTGGACAGCTGGCAGTGCCTGTATGGGATGGCAGTGGCATGGAACCAGTGAGGACAGCAGTGGGGAGAGGGAAGAGTTAGCACTGGGGAGGGCTGGACTGGCGTGAGGCCACTTTCTGACTGGGCCAGCTTCTGGAAAGGATTAGCATCTGGGGGGTGGTGGTATGTAAGCCATCTACACAGCAGCTGTGGAGATCATACGGAAGCTGTGATCACTGGTGCACAGAACCCCCAAGGTTTCACAGGGGTGTGGGGCAAGGGGACAAACTCAATCGGGGGGTTGTCATTCTAGGGATCATCAGCAGGTTTCCATGGGAACTGGCAAAAAGGACTGTGGAATATGAATGAATAGGACAAGAGCTGAATTTAGGGTCTCAAAGGCTGAGACCTCACCCTGTGATAGTGCTAAGAGCAGGAGCCAGAGCTGAAATCCTATCGTACACACAGGAGTGCGTATATTTTGCAATCAGAGTACAGCTCTCTCCATGCAGCAGTGGCCAGGGGTGCTGCATTTCATTTCCAATGAATTTCCTACTTTTTTGGGACCAAAATGATATGTCTGAATGTGGGAAAGGCCCATGGCTCAGCTGCCCAGAATAGTCAAAGATGTCACCAGCATACAGGGACCAGAGCAAATGCACCCGGCTGCTCAGCACAGGAAAAAAGGTGCAAAGGCAGAAAGAAGAAGAGACACCAGGAGCTGTGGCCACATGGACTGGGGAGTGTGGAAGAGGCACTGCTGGTGCCGTAGCAATAGCAGAAATTCCGGACACTAAAGCTGATGGGATTAGACAGAGAAAATGTGGACTGGGCCTGACAGCTACGCACAGAGCTGTTAACAGGCACACCACAGGAGTAGCGTTCATGCCCAAATGACACCTCTCTGTCACCTCTGCAACACCCTGCAGTCACCCTCTCCGCCCCAGGCCCCAGCTCCAGCCCCACAACTCAGCCCAGCCCAAGCCTCTCCTTCCCCAGCTCCAGCCACACAGTCTAGCCAGATTTACAAAAATTTTATTGAAGCTTTGATATATATAATTTTTGGCCTCTAGATACCCCGTGTCAGCTTACTCTTGGCTCCCCAGTGCTATCTTACGACACTGGGCACTAAGCTCCCAACACTAGATTTCCTGCTTGAGAATCCTACTGACGGCAGAACAGCAATTCTCAGATGCTCCAGACATGGCGTCAAACAAAGAACTCTACCGAGCAGTCTGAGCACAGCAGGCTGAGCGCAGCAGGCTGGGCTCAGTTGGTATCCATGCCATCACACTCTTCCGATGCCAGCTCACTTTCTGCAGGCAGAGACGGGGCTACGTGCTGCTTGCTGTCCCGCCGCTGATAGAATAGCACATATGCAGCTTTCGTCTGCCAAACAAGGAAAGAAAACCAATCTGATGAAAGGAAACCATCCACGAAGCACAGTTCTGGAAAGCTGATGATGCAGGAGATAACCTATCGCAGACTCCCAATAGGGCAGCTCAGTACTTCTCTGCCTCATGTGGAGGCTGGAGGCCTAGAGGGAAGCATGGCCTGTAATATAGGCTGTATGTAGAGATTTATGGAGCCTCAATATCTAAAACAAGAGAAACAATCCAGGAAATGCTTTTATATCACCTTAGTGCCCTCTCTTCCCCACTGTCTATGCAGAGAGCTGGACAGCCCGGGTACCCACCCCACAGATCCTGGGAAGGCTGTAGCCTATCAGGCTCAGGGGCAAGCCATTCAGGCTTTGCTCTGAGAAGCCAGCCCCTCCACACAAAGGTGTATTAGCAGGAACCTCAGCCAGGGAATCTTTGCAGAGATGTCCTTGTAACAAAAGAAAATTCCCTCCAATGGCTTTTCATGCAGGAAGGGACATTCGACCCACTCCAAAACGCATAGAGCAACCTCAGCAGCACAATGCAGGGGCCAGGAGGGATAGCTCAGTGGTTTGAGCATTGGCTTGCTAAACCCAGGGTTGTGAGTTCAATCCTTGAGGGGGCCCATTTAGGGATCTAGGGCAAAAATCTGTCTGGGGATTGGTTCTGCTTTGAGCAGGGGGTTGGACTAGATGACCTCCTAAGGTCCCTTCCAACCCTGATATTCTATGATTCTATGAAAGTCTGCTGCTCCTTCACAGCATCGTCAGCTTGAATCTGACCTCAATCTACAGCAGATTCTAGCCTACATTTACGATGATTTGATTAACAGAGGCAGAAAACATCTGGGTCCATCCCAGCATGTTCCTGGGTTTTATATCTGGGGATTTCCCCCATCTTGAATTAGTCTAAGTCCAAGTACTCACCACTATTTGATCTTCAGAAGCCACTGATACACTGCTGTCATCAAAGTAGTACCATTTGCCATTCACTTTGTTCTTTGCATATGCAGTATCTGTCACACAAACAGAGTGGCTATCTACATTCAGCAGTAAGGCAGGGGGCTCACTAGTGTAACTGTAATACCCCAATCACACTCAATTCTGATAACTCCATCTATAAGAGGTACAAAGTAAGTGTGCGGGTGAAGAGAAAGAAGTTGGAGCTTGGGCTTCATTGCTCAGAAGCGATATCAGTAACACTGGAACACAGTGGATCAGAGGCTAGGTCCATCTAGTCCACAATCCTATTCTAAACAGTGGCCCATCCTAAATGCTTCAGAGGAGGGTGTAAGAAACTTAAATTTCTCTTTGATCCTTCAGTCAGTGGTTGGCTTTTGCTCTGGAGCAGAGGGCTTATACCCACTCCAAATTTACGTTTTAAAATAATCCTAATCTAATGCTAACTGCGGTATTCTTTGTTGTACATACAGAAGGCCAATCTTGTTTTGAATCCTGCTAAATTCCATCCTGCTCTCAGCCTCACAGGACACTGACCATGTGCAATAGAGAGCTTTCTTAAGTCTACAGGTGCTGCACACGGATGAGAGCATTTGCTAGTGGAAGGAATGTACAGCCTCCACTGGAAAAGCTAGCCACGTCCCTACACAGTAAGGCATTCCCAAGCACCACAAGACAAGTCCTTCCATATCATTTCTCTCTCTTTTTTTTTTTTTTTTTTTAAAACAAGGATAATAAAAAGGCAAAAAACTAAACAATGCATCACATTGTAAGCACCAGAGTGAGGAACAGCAGAAATTCAGGTTCCAGAAGCAGTGTTACCAACCAGTTTCATTGCACAGTGTATTCTTATTCCTATTTTAATGGTTAACAGCTCTACTGTTTGCCAGAACGTGTCCCATAAAACACAGAAGGCGCACAGGAAACTACAGCTGAACATTACATTTGTTGTGATGTCAGCATTGAAATTTAATGCTGCCCAAACAGCTTTCCGACCAGTCCTACCAACTGTCTTAATTTCTTCTTCATTAGCCAAGGCCCCGCCCTCCACAGTGGCCAGATCCCAGTGTGGCTGCAGCAGCCTAGCACATGGCTAGCAGCTTCCTGTTGCTGATGAGGTTTAAATGGGGTGGAGCACATCCTTTACTGCCTGCCTCCTTACAGGGAGCCCATTATATCAATCCATGGACCGCCAAGGGGTTAAGGGGTGGGCGCTGTAAACTCTGATTGAATTTGCTCCCTTGGCTTTCAGGACAGAACCACAGCTGCGAAACATAGGGACGGCTTGAGCAACTTGCAGCCCCAACATCCCCACCCACTAGTGCCCATCCATCATGATTCCCCACCCCCCAGAGAGTCACTGCTCTCCCGACAGCAATTTTCCCGTATGCACACAGCCCTCCCGCCTACCTGCAATAAAGAACAGACAGGTAGTTACTCACAGTGGCCTACTCCCATAGCTCCATAGTGATTGGACACTGCAATGAGGTCATACACATACGGATCAGCTATTGGGTCACAGACAAACTCAGACATGCTCAAATCCCTGAGAAAAAAGTAAGAACACATTGTTATTGTACACATAATAAGAGAAAAGCCTAGTAATAATGAATCATCGTAAACAGCAGCACCGGGCCAAGGGCTAACCTGCCCCAGTCAATGCTGGTTTTCCTTTTTAATTATTAATGACCTATTTGACCCACAAGCCAGTGATGTCACCCCCTTAGGCACCTGTAATATGGATGGCATCAGCCAGTTTGTTTGCTGTCAGGAATGACGGTTACTGGCAAACACAAGTGTTGTTGTGAGGTTAGTGAAAGAGGATGGCTAAGTGCCATGCTAACAGCAATCAATGTAAAACAAGCATGAAGAAGTCAAACTCTTCCATGTGAGGGATTGGAGCAGCACTGGGTAGGCCTATGTCCTGCAGTGGGATGGTAGTGCCTGAGATGTATGGATGAGTGCAAGGCCTTCTCTTGGTAGAGGATGCAGAGGGATGACGCTGATGGTCATGCAACATACATGTAATCCACACTAACAGCATGGCTCCATCCTCCTCTAAAGGACAGATTTTAAAATTTTATTAAGATGATATTTTAAAAAAAAGTGAACAGTACAGAGTTTAAGCATAGAAGTTTCTGGTTATCAGGGAATAACGTACAGATTATCGAGGGTGTGAAGTTCGGTTTAAGATCGGGTGTTGTAAGGAATACATAATCTGCAGTATCCCCGATTGGGGAAAAGGTTGATGGGTCAAAGTACAGACATCTACATAGAGAGTCTACTAAAGTAAGAGGCTCATGCTTTTAGATCCAGAGGTGTCAGGTTCAACGCCTGCCAGCGACCCATTCCAGGAGCATTGTGGACACAGAGATCAGAAATAACACTGATACCGGACTTCCAAGAAGGATCTCCAGGTATTACTGCATGTACTGTACCTGCTTCCAGGACACAGATACCATTACCCAAAGAGGAATCCTGCTATGCTTTGCCAGATGAACAACTTTCATACCTCACACGTATATAGCACCTTTCTTTCCAAGTGCTGCACGCTACTGTTTAAGTAGAGGTAACACTGAACTGGAAATCCTAGCAAGGGGTCAGCAACCTTTCAGAAGTGGTGTGCCAAGTCTTCATTTATTCACTTTAATTTAAGGTTTTGCGTGCCAGTAATACATTTTAACATTTTTAGGTCTCTTTCTAGAAGTCTATAATATATAACTAAACTATTGTTGTATGTAAAGTAAATAAGGTTTTTAAAATGTTTAAGAAGCTTCATTTAAAATTAAATTAAAATGCAGAGCCCCCCAGACTGGTGGCCAGGACTCAGGCAGTGAGAGTGCCACTGAAAATCAGCTCGTGTGCCGCCTTCGGCACGCGTGCCATAGGTTGCCTACCCCTGTCCTAGCAGATCTACACAGCTGGTATTTTGGAAGGGAAGGAAAGAATATTCAGTGAAGCTGCAGGGGAGGTTAGGCAGCATAGAAATCTCTGGCGTAGAAGTTGGCCTGGACACTCTGTTGCCAAGACTCTCCACCCTGACACTCATGAAAATTGTCATAGGATCTTTAAAGGACAAAAGTGTTCAGGGTCTGCTGGGACACAGGTTCAAAACTGACTCTGAGGGAATTGTAAAGATGTGGAATCACCAATACCACTTTCTGCAACACCGGATTTTCTTAGCAGCATCCTAGCCAAATAGTGGCCAGGCCCATCCCTGTTAAGCTCAGGAGCTCTGCAGTCATAGCTCCAGGTATCACAGGTGCAGGTAGCACCCCCTTTCCAGAGACAATTACTAGAGCTTCACTAAGGTTTACTGGCTTGTGGCTCTGGAGGCAGAATCCTATCCTGAGCTATGTCTCCAATGAGGAGCCCATACAATCGCTACATCAAAAGTAGGGAAACGGTGGGGGCGAAAGACCTCTCTGGCTTCAAGATTAGGCTAGATAAGTTTATGGAGGGAATGGTTTGATGGGATAACGTGATTTTAGTCAATTAGGCAATAACGTGCCATCGCTGGTAAAATGTGGGTCCGGCTGGAGAATCTTGCCTGTATGCTCGGGGTTCTACTGATCGCCATATTTGGGGTCGGGAAGGAATTTTCCTCCAGGGTAGATTGGCAGAGGCCCTGGAGGTTTTTGCCTTCCTCCGCAGCATAGGGCAGGGGTCGCAAGCTGGAGGATTCTCTGTGACTTGAAGTCTTTAAATCACGATCTGGAGACTTCAACAGCTGAGATAAGGGAAATTGGGTGGGTCAGCTTTTGTGGCCTGCATCATGCGGGAGGTCAGACTAGATGACCATAATGGTCCCTTCTGACCTTAAAGTCTATGAGTCTCTTGCTCTGCCCAGTTATGCCTTGCTGGTAAAGAACCTTACCTGATGGGGAATTCAACCACAGTGTCAAGTTTATCCCTCCAGTATCTGTTGTACGAGAAGCGTTTTAAATGCACCACCAAAATCCTGGGCAAAGACCATAGATCAAACTTCTTTGTGGCCTGCTGATGCTTCTTGCAGTTAGGGCAGTACCTGAGAAAGGAGTATAAATAGGCACGAAACACCTTCGATATCTGCCTTCTATCCAAGGGTCTCAAACCCCTTTACAAACAGTATTTTTTTGATTAACATATAAAATGCCTATCCCAGGCTGTAGTCACCTTTGTCTTTTTTTTTTTTAAATAGGCTTTGAGAACATCACTCTGATTTTTCCTCACATATGCAATCTCTTCTTCCCCTAGTACATCCTCCCCGCCGCCTTCGCGCACTCACCATGTCCCCCCACCTACTGCTACCCAAATGCCATTGCTCAGTATCTCTCTCCTCTTCTGAGGCAATGCAGGAGCCAGGATGAGCTGTAAGAAAAACTCCTGGAGCACTGTATTTTCAGCACGTCTTTCCCCACTCTCCTCTTCCTATCTTGTCTTCTGTCCTTATTTGCTTCCTTTCCAATCCTCCCCTCTGCTCCTCCCTTCCCTCTGCTGTACTCTCTGCCCAAGTGGCAGAGTGAAAGTGACTAGATTTCCAAGTTTCTGAAGTGAAGACATTTTGTCAGTTTCACTGGAGCATTAGAACAAAGGTAGTAGTGTGTTAGAGAGCACCGGCTCAGCCTGCTTCCACCTGGTAAGAAATGAGGTAGAGTGAGAGAACCATACAGGGTGGGGTGTTAGGACTACAACAGCATGAGTGCTAAAGGTCAAGTTTGAGGTGGCAGAACTACACAGAGCCTAAGAATAATAACCACAGCAGCTTTCTAAAGGCAATAGAGTAACTGGGTTTTGTTTTTGTTAAGGTAACATTCCCTCTCTTGCTGCTGAGGACTGAGGTGCAGTGGCAGAGCTGTGGCTGTGGGAACAGGGGTAGGATAGTAAGATGCTCAGAAAGAATAGTGTGGGGAAACCTTTACCCAAACAATATTGTTATTTTATAGTATATATAAAGACAGTCCAAGTAATATGTCTGCCAAACAGCTGGGTGGTAAACTTACCAAGGGTCATGTTCACCAAGCGTTTCCATTGTAGTAAAGAGTTCTATACAGTCTTTAAGAGCGACAGTAGTTTTCTTCTTCTGTGACTGCAACATACTTTCATCCTTTTCAAATGCCTACCAAAAAAGATGCATGTTAACCCTCTGTATCCTGAAAATGATTATGCTCATCCTAGGCATCTGGAACCACCTTCCCATGCCCCCATACAGGTTATCTGTGTCCCATTCCAACACAGTTCCCTGCCATTTCTTTTTTATCTTCAAAATGAACCCTCCCCGTTCCTCTCTTGCTCCAGTGATGACTGTTTGACAAGCCATCCTTTCCTGGATGTAGGCAGCCAGCCTCTTTCTTTCCGCCCACAACACCAACATCAATACCCACAATCTCTATTGCTCAAAGCTGTGCAAAGCATTTTATAGAGGTAATTAATAAAGACAGTTTCTTGCATGAGGGTGTTTACTGCTGAAGTTAGCCCTAAAGCAGAAAGAAATTTTGTCAGATGTTCATAGACAGAGAAGGAAAAGACAGTCCCTGCTCCAAACAGCTAACAATCTTATTGTACAACAAAAAAAGGGGAAGAAAGGGGAAAACAAAGAAGTACAATTTTATGGCTTGTGTAATGCAGGTCATATGGGATCATAACTGTCCACTCTGATCTTAAAATCTATTAACCAGATTGGTTACTGGCAGCAGTCTATTACAGATCATCAGATAAGACCAGAGAAAAGGATGTGCATTTATTATCTGGAGGGAAAAAAAACTGCATTACAGCAGGGGACATACATTGGTGAAACATCTTTGGAGTTTCTAACATTTGTAACACAGGAAATATTGCTCCTAGAGTGTGACTCTATAGGAAATCTCATTCTGACAGAAATAATTTGATCACTGACCTAAAAAAGTAGTGGCTGTCCAGGTATAAGTGATTGAGAGCTGGTTACATTTGTGTTGAGCAAACAGAATACACTCAACCAGTTACATACATATATGCAGCTTTCAAGTGGCCAATTTCTCAAAGCCAAAATTAATTTGCTGAATTGACTGGGAGGAAAAATGTAAATAGAGAATTACGAATGAAAGTTGAAGATTGTTTAAGAACATTTCACTTGCTTCCCAAAAAGTTACAATTCCATATCAGAGAAAAGGGCTGTTTGATTAACAAGTCAACTTGGTTAAGACTGTTATTGTAGTCTTGTTGATCCCAGGATACTAGAGAGACAAGAAGGGTGAGATAACATTAGTCCAATAAAAGATACTACCTCACCTGCCTTATCTTGGTTAAGAGTAACATGAAAGCAGCAATAAAACTAAAAATCATTACATAAATGGGGAAAAGGAGCTGAATAGCAATAATATAAATAAGAAGTTAAGAAATACAAGCAATTAATAACTGAACCTAAAGGTATATCAACAAAATATCTATAGCCAGTATGGTTAAGGAACAAAAGCAATCCTAGCAATGGTCTAGCAGTCTAGGTCCATTACTAGAGGGAGATATTGTCAATAATGAAGCAGAAAAAGATGTGTTTAAGAAATATTTCTGTTCTGTATTTGGATCCAGTCTGAACAATATATCAATATCATATGACAGTTGCAAAGGAGAATGCTAAACAGTATCTACTATTAAAGTTAAACATTTTGTCTGGATAACTTGTACAGAAAAATTTTAAAGGGGTTGGGAGAGGAGCTTGGTTATTGTTTAACAAGTTTTGGAAAGCTGAGGAAGTTCCAGAGGGTTAGAACAAACCCAGAGTTTTGCCAGTATTTAAAAAGGGTAGCTGAAATGATGTTGGTAACTCTAGGTCAGTTAACCTGACACTGATCCTAGGCAAAACAGTGAAATGGCTGACAGTCCTATCGATAGAGTTAAAGAACAGAAATATAAATTAATACCAATCAACATGGTATCCTGGACAACAGGTGTCGTCGAACTTGATATTGCTCTTTGACAAGATTCCAAGTCTGGTTGAAAAAGGTAACTGTGCTGACCTAATATACTCAGACTTTGTAAGGAGTTCAACTTACATTGTATGACATTCAGAATAAAAAAACTGTTATACAAAATCAATATGGCCTGCGTTAAATGGATTACAATCTGTCTGACAGATCTCAAAGTGTGCTGTTAATAAGGAATTAACTACTGGGGAATTAATTTCTAGTGGGGTTATGCGGAGATTAGTTCTTGACTAAGTGTTATTTAGTATTTTTATCAAGAATGAGAGTAAAATCACTGCTGATAAAGTATGCACATGATACAAAAATTGGTGGAGTGGTAAATAATCATGAGGACAAGTCACATATAAAGTGTTCAGAACTCCTGGTGAGTCAGGTGGAATCCAACAATACATGCTTTAATACAGCCAAATGCAAGGGCACATGTTTAGGAACAAAGACAGGTATAGCCAAGGATAAAGGTATCAGGTGTATTTAGGATATAGAGGTGAATGTTAATGTTTTAACATAGGGCCTACAGGCCTCAGGCCTTTAAGACATGTAGCTTGGCCAAGGCCTATGACTTAGTCCTACAGCTTATTTTAGGCCTCAGTATAAGTTAACTATAATACAAAGATAAGTTAGCATAAGTAAATTAATAATAAATCTGCTGAGCCTAGTCTATGTTTGGGAGGGAGGGTGAAATGTTAGAGACTTCCTTAAGATAACTGCCTGTTACTATGTTGATAAGGTGAGGTAAATATGAGTTCCCCTTACACTCATTAACAAGTTAGCCTATGAAAAACAGGGCACCTGGAAAGCAGAGGGCTGTGGAAGTTCAAATAAGGAAAAGGAATTAAAACTTTCATAAATAAATATCAGAGGGGTAGCTGTGTTAGTCTGGATCTGTAAAAAGCAACAGAGAGTCCTGTGGCACCTTTAAGACTAACAGATGTATTGGAGCATAAGGTTTTGTGGGTGAATACCCACTTCGTCAGGCATACGCATGACATGCGTCTTACGAAGTGGGTATTCACCCACGAAAGCTTATGCTCCAATACATCTGTTAGTCTTAAAGGTGCCACAGGACTCTCTGTTGATAAATAAATATGAATTTCAGTGGGTGTTGGCGTTAACCCATTATCCAAGCTGTATCCCTGCCTGCATGCCTTGCAGGGGGAGACACCAGGATGACGACCACTGGTGGTAAGGATGATGATGAGAATGAGGGCTAACACTTTGGGTTTTCCCACAAGGCATGGTGTGAGTAATGCAAATACTGTGAGTTCTGTGTTGGTCTCTTTCTCCTTCACCAGACTGCAGCGCGTATTGTTGTTTGGTTGATTAGTAAAAGTAATTATTAGAGACAGAGCACTATGTCGACTCTTCTGTACACAGTAAAGTCCCACTTCTATTGCTGCTGTAGTCGACCTTAGGGGCTGAATTCTCACATTGTAAAATAGGTGTAAACCTCACTTTGGGTGGGTAACTGGTTAAAGTAACCCATAACTATAGATAAGGCTACCCAGGCCCCACACAGAGTGTGACATTGCATTCCATATGTTTTATGGAAATATGCTTATAAGTGTGAATATGATGTAACTGGAATATGCTTTATGCAAAAGGTCTCTTGTAAGGTATCATTACAAAGCTTATAATCTACTGAATATATTCCTCCTATTTGTATGTATGTATCATTCTTGTATCTGAAGCTAGAAATGTGAAGTATAACTCTGAGGTCCTATTGTAATTATGCAAGGTGTGGGCCATTAATGGTGGTTTGGAAGCTTGATGGCTCCCATTGACTAGGACAATTGGTTGTAAATGATCTGTTTACTTGCAAACCTTCCTGTGTGCATGTGGGCCAGCCCTGAAAGAATGGAGGCTGGGATCTCACAGGATACTGGAATCCATCTTAAACCTGGTGCTTTTCCATTTAGAAGAAGGGGTGGGGACCCGGAGAGACAAAAGATTCCCACCTTGTGTCAAAGATATAAAAGGGGGTGGAACAGAACAAAGGGGGCTGCCAGTCATGAGAACACCCCTAGTTTTAACCTAAGATGTCTGCTGGAGCGAATAAGGACTGTACCAGGGGAAAGGATTGGGCCCAGACTAGGAAGGAGTCTAGTCTGTGAAAGAAGCTTATTGGAACATCTCTGAGGCTGAGATTTTACCTGTAATCAGTTGCTTAATGTATTTGGCTCAGACTTGCGTGGTTTTCCTTTATTTTTGCTTGGTGACTTACTTTATTCTGTCTGTTATTACGTGAAACCACTTAAATTCTACTTTTTATTCTTAATAAAATCACTTTTGTTTATTAATTAACCCAGAGTAAGTGATTAATACCTGGGAGAGCAAACAGCTGTGCAGCTCTATCAGTGTTATAGAGGGCAGATAATTTATGAGTTTAACCTGTATAAGCTTTATACAGAGTAAAACGGATTTATTTGGGGTTTGGATCCCATTGTGAGCTGGGTATCGGGGTGCTGGAGATAGGTGACTTGCTGAGCAGTTTTTGGTTAAAGTCTGCAGCTTTGGGGGCGTGGACCAGACCTGAGTCTGTGTTGCAACAGGCTAGCATGTCTGGCTTAACAAGGCAGGGTTCTGGAGACCCGAGCTGGCAGGGAAAACAGGCTCAGAGGCAATTTAAGGATCATCACAGATAACTATTCAAACATGAACGCCAGTGCAATGCTGTGGCGAAAAGTATCACAACTATGGTAAGTTTAGTAACTGTTTTTTTCTTTTTCAAGTGATTGCACATGTCCATTCCACTGCCAGTGACTCACAAGCAGTCCCACGTGGAGGTGGGTGCGGAATCTATTTGAACAGGGATTGGAGGACCACTTGTCCAAATTTAGCACCTCTAGAGTGTTGAGAGATTGCATAGTGAGAGGCAAACAAGTGACATGATGACCCGGTTGCTGCTTTACAAATGTCTAATATGGGCATGTGAGCCAAAAATGCCATAGAGGATGCTTGGGATCTAGTTGAATGACCCAATTCTGTCTCTGGTGGCTTCATGTTACCCAACTGGTAACCCAGGTGAATACAACTCGTATCCATGATGAAACCCTTTGCGTGGAAGTCTCACTGCCCTTCATTGTGTGCACAAATGCAACAAACAATTGAAATGAAGACCTGAAATATTTAGCCCATTCCAGATAAAATGCTAATGCTCTTC